CCAGGAGTAAAACTGATTGTATGAGACCAAACTGAGGCTCACCATATGTATCATAGGATAGGAACACAGTCATGCCTGCTCTATACTCAGTTCCCTTAAATGTTACCCAGGCTGACACAAAAAATTCACTAAAAAGTGGAATACCTTCTAGACCCCCTTGGATCTCTTTAAATCCCTCCATGTTTGCCAGAAATGTACTGTACCCTGGACCAACTTCTGTATTGTGGCACAACACAGTTCCACTCAGGAAATTGTAGCACTGCATAATCTGATGGCGAAAAGCCATTGTTTTACAAATGTTTCTGAAGTTGCAAGTTACATGGCTAACCTGTTTGAAAAATGCATGCCGAGCTTCAAATCTCATTGCCCAGAACTGCCTCAATGGTCCAAGTTTCCGAATGACTCCTGGGTAATGGAGCATGAAGTGATGCTTTGGCCGTAAATGTAGGTGATTATAGAGCTCCAGGAAGAGGGTGTGATGCTCTTCAATGATTTTGCCCAAGTACAGTGTCGCTGCTACAGTAAGCGAAGTAGAAAACATGAACTCCATGCACAAAAGCAAAAGGAGTAGAAGTTCCCAATGCTTGTTATCCATAGGGATAAGGTCACCTATCATAGTTGGCAGTAACCTTAGTAGGCACCACATCTGAGATGCTGACTGCCGCATGGAGCCTTCAAGGTTTTTGAGATCACTCTTGCTTATGACAGAAGGTCTGTTACCTTTATCACAAAATCCATAGTCAAAGCTTGTAATTCTGTAGTTAAGCTTTTCTAGAGTGAGATGCTTTTGCTCAATGAGTGAATTCAACACAAGTTTGACTTCATAGGGCCCCACCCCTTCCAGTACATCATGCATGATGTCAACTGCCGCATTTTCTGACACATGATAAAAAGACAAATTGTTCAAGACACTGTCTCTTTTCAGGCCAGTTTGGGAAGAGTCAGCTGTAAGCAAATCAGCCTCATAACTATTGCGATCACGCAATAATGAAGGATCTTCCTGTGTCAAAGAACGCACCATCTCTTTATTTGCTTTGCAGAATCGACATACATAATTTCCACTGAAGCTTTCAATGTAGCCAAGAACTCCATGCAAGCCCAAATTATCTCCAACTACCTGGGCCACTGTGAACTTGACAACACCTTGATAAATGGGGGTATTAACAAGGATGCCATCACTCTCCAGACACCGGATCTCTTCCACGATAGGGTGCAGGATTGCATCAAGGCCATAGGTCGCTACGTCATCTGATTTGTACACTGCCAAAAGGAGCTGTGACTTCAAAGAAGATAGAAGGTCTGGTGGCAAGCTCTTCAAGATGAAATAAATAAGTCCTAACTTGTGAATTCCAGTCTTTGAACCTAGTGGATTTACCATCTCACAATCATCTTGGTAAATCACAAGTGGGATTGAAACCTCCTTCTGAAACAATGGATGCGTTTTGCAAAAATCACCATCAAAAAGATCCTGAATTGCATCACTCTCTCTGCGCTGCCATTCCAGCATGGTCTGTAAAACCCCAGGAATTTCAAGAATCTTGCTCAAAAGGCTCTTTAACGGAATACGGTAAAATGAATCAGGAATTCCAACTTGCCGGACAATGCCAGTGACAGAGGCCGTTTGCTGAACATAGGAAACCCCAGACAACTCTTCTTCAACTGGCTGAATGAAGTTCCCAGATTTAGCAAAGTATAGCATCTGCTTATAATCTGTCTCCATTCCTTTGAAAGGCTCAGCTGCTTCTGAGAAATCCACTCTTAGCTTTTTTACCTCTTGGCTTTGGCCTAGACCAAACTGATTAAATAAATCCATTGTCTTTGATTCCAGCCTGCCGACAATATCACTAATTAAGTGGGAGGTATGCTGAACCACAAAGTTTAAGTTTGAGTATGTCATAGAAGATTTGGATCTAAGGTGGGCTAAAAACAGGGCCACCCGATTGATAATGCCCTCTGGCTGAAGTTCATCCCAATCCTCATCAACTTCTTCATCTCCCTGGGCTGGCCTTATTTCAGCATTCAACATTTCAACATTCTGTACAACAGGTGGGGCTGGACCTTCAAGGGGGTCATCAAAAGTATTTCCAACTTCATGCTCCTTCTCCAAGTGTCTTTTAAAAGACCACATGTAAGAAAATGTCCTACCGCAACCACTTTCACTACACTGGAAATGTGTTGATTCTGAGATGACATGGTGTACTACACGCAAATGCATAAAAAGACTCTTAATATTCCCTGAAATTTGCTTTTTGCACTTAAAACAAGTATACACCATCTTCAATAGTAACTATTAAATAGTAAACAAAATAATAATAGTCTGTGGAAAACGGACAAATCTAGCCTTTCACGTCTGTATTGATTTTAACTACATACAAGTCCTGTAAATCTTTTGAGGAACTTCAGCCTAGGGCCAGCTCTTGGGATCAACTGGATGATGGTAGCCTCATCTAAAAGAAGAAAACTTTCCTCATCAATCCCCTCCTCTGAAAGACAAAAATAGAAAACAACATCTTTGTAACTCTTGTATATGTTTGTTCTGTGTTTGACTTCATAATCCATTGCTTTGTTCTTCGGAAAAAAAGTGTGTTTTTTTTTACCTGACATGTTTCAACTAATGCCTCTAGTCAACATCATAGTCGCCGGTGTTGGTTGTCACACTCTGTCCGCCACTCCTCGTCTGTCACTCGCCCTCAGCTGTACTCCTGTGTCTTCTCTAAATGTTACCACCTGCCTCTCGTCTCCCAATCACTTCAGGTCCCTGCTCTTCTTGTATTTAAACCCTTCCAGTTCTGTACCATTTGTTCATTCAATGTCTCAATTAGGGATGCACAATTAATTGGATTTTGATTGTGATCAGGATTTTGGTAGCCACAATTAAATTAACCTAATTGTCAACGATATTTAAATTCCAAATGCAAGCTATTCTACTTGGGCGAAAGCTATTCTACTTGGGCGAAAGCATGGCTAAAGCTTCAATAACTTTCTACTGCGGTTGTGTTGGTGCAACACAAAATGGCTTCCATATTTTGAACTGCTATAACTCTTTGAACATTTGCACAATCAATGTAATTCCAACTGATTCTGAAAGCTGAGACTCTTGAGCTTTCCAGTGGTATACAATACATAATGGTAAGGTTGCAAACGTCCCTGCCTGGGAACCAGAAAATAAACACTCTGCCGTTAAAACAATAGAGGAGCGGTGGAATTGTTTTGGACGCATATTTTCAACTTGTATGTCTTCTACTGGTGTAAATAATAATTATTTTCGGTACATAAATTACTTTGTTTGTATATAGTAATTTTATAATAGATTTAGTCAAATCACCATTGCTTCACCATTTTTTGACTCGTTTTATCACCTGTAGTTTTTTTTTTCCAGTTGCGTTTTTCACTGAGGGTTTTTATTATTTTATATGTTAATTTGTTTTTGTAACTAATGAACGAAATAAAGAAATCTTCTAGAAAGAGTAAACTTCCCTCAAGATTTGTTGATGAGGAGCAAGATGTGCACTACATTGTTTTTCCATCACAACTATAGTATATCTGCACTAAATTTGTTCCGAGCTACACACTTTCCAGTTTCTGTTGTCTAGTATTTATGCTAATACTTTTACTGTACTATTATATACTATTACTGCTACTTCCAGCAACAACAAAAAAACCTCTATGTACATCTGTGGATGAGGATTCAGGTGTAAATGAAGATGATTTGCCATCACAGCTGCAGTGAGGTAATCTACAGTTCAAATATATTTCTAGCTTTAGTTTTGTATTTTTTATTTTTAGTTTTAATTTTCTAGTATTTACTGCTTGAGTATGTTTTATAAAATCTTTCATATATATACTTTTAGAGATTCTTTTGATGAAGAGCCATCCACCATCACCAGCAATAGGCAATGTCAGAGACAGGATGCTGCTGGTGATGCTCCCTATCTTCTGGACTCCTGGTAAACAAAGTCAGACCCAGGTACCGCCGACCCACGACACCCAGATTTGTACCCAGAAGAACCCCTGGCTATCAGCTACCTCTCACCACCAGCTCCACAAACAAATCGGCAACAAGTATTAGCAGGCCATGAAACATACAGAGGCCTTTTCTGTATAAACTGTAATTTTTTCCTTTAAGTTGCACTTTGAGATTACTCTCTGCAATAACATAAGTTAGCACTTTGAAATATAAAAGTATAGGAGTTTTTTGGAGGGGTTTTGCATTATTTATAATCTATTCTAAAGTTTAATTTTTCACATAAAAATTTTGCAACATTGTAATTGGTGCAATAAAAATACATATTTTACCAAATAAGACTAATGTCTTGGTTCGTTCATTGTCTCAATATCCCGTGTGCGTCCTAATAACCGTATCAACGGTTTCTGCCTGCCTGCCTTCTTCCCCCGCACTTAGATTCTCACCTCGACCTCAACTCGCCCGCCCATGCGTGAAATTGGTGACATCACTTCCGTTTATTTGAGGGCAGCAGAGGACGATGTCGCCCTCTACTGCCTGCATCCTCCTTGCTGATGGAACTTTCACATTGGATCATGCATGGGACAGTGTCATCAGCAAGGAGGATGCATCATCCTGTGCTGCCTGCGGATAAACGGAAGTGACAACACCAATACAGGCGACTGATGACTAGAGGTACTAGTCAAAACATGTTAGGTAAAAACCAATTTTTTTTTTACTAAACTGTAATGGACACACAGTAATGTATTACAACAGCTTTGTTTTTATTAAAGATGAGCAGAAGAAAAATGTATGGCTAATTACATCGAAGCCTTTGTTACAAAATACTATAAATAGAATTAAGCACTGAAAACCTACAAAATGTGCCCTAATGATGTATTAGTCAATTTGACACACTACATTATAGGCTATTACAAAACACTAAATTATATTTCATAAGAATTTATACCAAAAATGGAATGCAAGTATGCACAGTATCACAATGAGTAGCAATGGAGACTTGAGATACAGTGGATGAGGAAAAAAATTGATTTACCTTTAAATATTTCTACAAGATCTGTCAGCTGCCATTCAGTCAAGAGGTTGATTACAAAACTGTCCATTGATCTGAAACAAACACAAAAAGAGCATAAGCTGACTTTTTGCACAGCTAAAGACAAATTATAACATCTGAGAGTCATTCAAACACTGAAAAGTGTGATCAACTGTATTTTTTCACCAAATAGAAAGATATTTATCCCTCCTACTGGGTATGACCCCGCGAGGAAAGTTGACCATTGAGCAGGGTTGATAGTTAATCCCTTGGGTCCATGTGGCAGGGGTGAGGAGTGAGCACCACCTCACCCCTGCCACGTGGACCTCAAGGGATAAACCATCAACCCTGCTCAATGGTCAACTTTCCTCGCGAGGTCAACCATAAAGACAGTGGGAGGGTTAAGGTTTTTAAACAACTTAAAAGATGGACTTTAACTAAGGCTCCTTGGACCTTCTACAGTGGCTCTGAGTAACTTTAGTTAAAATTCTTTAAAACAATTACCCGATTTTATTAAATATAGATAGGCACCATAAACATAGGGTTTAAACAGCATTTAAAATTTTTCTTTGAATATTTGTGCTGACTATCCACAGCAGAATAATAGTAAACGTACAAGTAACATTTTTAGATCTATTTGTCCCCCCCCCCCCCCCCCACTATCTCATTCATTGAAAACATTTCCATACTGTTTTCCAAGTACTTTTTTTTCTTCTTAATTTCAAATCCCTTATATAACATATGTAGGGAAGACGTGCCTAAAATGATTTAGCTTGAATGTATCTGAAACAACCGCAGCATCTTGTCTGTGTCAGAATCTTCTTTGGGTTTTGGATGAACCTGTCTAATTACTGGGAAACTTGTTTTTGACCCAACACTTGAACTCAACTCCCCCCCCAAAAAAGAACACAATTGCCTCGGGAAGCATCAGTTTAGGCTGAAAGTGAAAGGAGAAAACCCTGCAAAAGTTCTTCATAGAATACTTTAGTATTTGGAGAGGATTTTGTTTGACTTACGAACTTGAAGCTCCAACCGCTGTGAGATGTTGAAGCAGCAGTAGGAGCAGCACAGCGATACCGGCTACCGCAGTGTTTTGCCTAGCTATCTCCGTGACTGTATTTGATCAAATGACGACTCACGACCCACTAACAAAGATGGTTTGTGAACAGGATGAACACTCCTCTTTTTTCTGAAACCGATTCTTATAGAGAGCGACTGAAACCCGACCAAAGACACCTTCCCTTAAACAAAAACTCTTTGATTCACGTGAACGTTATATTTGGCTTCATAAACGGCAGTTTTCGCCAAAAAGCGTCAAATTTGCAAGTGTGAGATGAACGTATTTTAAATCCACGTCAATACTAACCAAATTTAAGACTTTAATAAATCGATTTAAGACATTTTAAATACGTTAAGCGTCTTAATTTTCCTTTCATCTCCTTTACCGAGCCGGGAGCTGCTGCCGAGCGATTTCCCGCTCCTCCCCCATCCCCCCACGACAGTTTCATTAGCCAGACTACTCATTAGTTCAAATGTAAAGTACAGAAGTTCCACTGGATTTTTTTAATGTAAAAAATTAATCAGAATAGCAGTTTACGAACGAAAAAGATAAGCTACTGACACTAGAAAAGGCTCAAGACAACCGCTAAATGGCTAGCTAGCTACATTGTTACACAAACCAACCAACAAGCCTCAGCAACATTCAGATACCAACAGGTATAACGCGGCACAGAAGTGACGGGAATCAGATAGTAAACACAAACAATACAAACCTCTTATTGTTGATTTACCTCGCAACGAGGATGTTTTTCCCCTGCTCAGATCGAAGACAAAATGGTTCCTGGCGTTGTGGAGGATGACTGTAGATGTAATGACGTTCAAACCGGTTCAAACAAGTACAACAACCCAGGTGCTGGGTCAAGTTGCACTAAAATAACCCAAATCTCATTCAAATAACCCAAAATGGGTTACACATTTCATAACCCAGCAGTTGAGTAGATTAAATAACCCAACTGTTGCACAAAAATAACCCAAATCTCATTCAAATAACCCAAAATGGGTTACACATTTCATAACCCTGCAGTTGAGTAGATTAAATAACCCAGCAGTTTTTAGTGAGTAGAATGAAAGTAAAATGAAATAAGCCTGCATATTTTGCCATAGAAAATATTTTAATTGGTTACAAAAAATGTGTTTTCCATATCAAATGTGCTAAAGCTTTACAGATGATTATTTTAATTGTGTGCAGGTGAGTCTAGGGAAACTGGAAAAAGTGTGAAAGGGAGTGCTGAGTCATTTCATTTTAAAGGTTTGAAAATCTCAGAACAGCTGTTTGAACAGAAGGTAGATTGTTATATTGTTAGAGGATGTGTTGTAAAGAACAACGTTGGAGATGTGCACTGATGTTCAAATAAACCTACATTGTAAAGCAACTCTTTCTTGCACTGAATTACAAGGCTTTACCGAGTAGTGTGCTTTTGTAGACTATACATATAAAGTTCTAACATGATTTTAATAATAAGTCGTTAAGTGGGCCGGTCTGGGGTCTGAAACTCCAGGGCTGAAAATGTGTCCCACTCCGGCCCTGCCTACAGGCTGCTATTGCAGACAAAGGTCTAATGTGCCATCTGAAAGGGCTGGGCAACCCTTGGCTGGCCCACACCCTTCAAGCCTGGCAGAAGGTAATCAACATTTGTGGGCTACAGAAAATGTTAAGAATTTTTAGGTGATTTTCCTTTGTTTCAGATTTCGCTCCAAATAGACAACTCTAATTTTAAATCATGGTTGAATTATGATCTCACAACATTTCTTTCTCTTACCCATAGAAACACTGTTATCAGCTTTGAGAACTTACGAAACAAACATGCGTTGACATATTGTGACTTTCACAGATATTTACAGTTGAGATTATATATCATTCATGATTGCAAATTGACTGATTTTACAGATGCTGAGTCACAGTTTTCCCTTATCTTGAAAAGTGCTTTAACTATGACACCAACTAAATCGATCTCAAAACTATACAAAGCCATCTCTAGTGCCGGTGAGACCAACACTTTTTATATCAAGGACAAATGGGTGAGGGAATTGGGAGCTGATATTTCTTCAGAGGAGTGGAGCAAAATTTGGTCTTTCCAGTGGTCAACGTCCAGCTCAGAGAGCTGGAGGGAACATGGCTGGAAGAATATTATAAGATATTTCAAAATGCCATATCAGCAGAGATACGCCGTGCGGGAGACAATGCAGCGCTGTCCCAGGTTAAAGGAATTTTGGACGGGAGTTCAGACCTCGTTAAATACAGTTTTGAACATTCAAATCCCTTTGGACTTTAAGGTTTTATACATGGGGCTTGTCCCCTTTCTGAAATGTAGGAGTTGGTGCAACTACTCTTGGTGGTATGTAAGAAAACGATAACAAGAAGATGGCTGAGCCCTGTCCTCCACACACTGGATGATTGGAATGGGAACATTTTAGAGATATTTAGGATGGAATAACTGACATATTTGTTAAATAACTGGAAGACAAAATTCTATGAAATCTGGAGCAAGTGGATCTTATTCATTACCCCCTCAAGAGCGGACTTTATGTGATTCAACTGTTAATCAACTTTTCGTAACTGTTAATAATAGTTACTGCTAAATGAACATATAATCATTGGTAATGTGTATGATGAGAAACCTGACTCAGCAGTTCATCCAGATGTTCTGTTATCTGCTGCTTACCCCTCCTCTTGGGTGTTTTTCTGCACACAGCGTGAATAGGTTCCTGTTCTCTGTTGAGATAATAGCCATCCTGTTTAACCATATCTCAAGGCTGCAAGTCTGCTGTTTAGAGGATTGTTCAAATTTAACCTTGTACACACATGTGTCCCCTCCCTGCTTGAGTGAATAAATCTAGCCGTTTCAAAATGAGATCAGAACACTTCTGGCAGCTGCTGAAGCAAGTCGGCAAACCTTGCATGAGAGTTGCGTGTTCTCCCTCTGCAGCGGTGAATCTTATTTTGACTGGTTTTTTGACTCCAACATCAACTCAGAAGCAAACATCTTTTTCTCCAATCGCTTCGAACCTGTCTTGGTCATTTCAGGACCAACAATTTGGCGTCACGAACAGGATTTTTCCTCCGAGAAAAGGGGCAATTGGAGATCATTCGACTCTGACCTGGTGAAAAGGATTGAGACACAACCAGCCGCGGCTAAAAAAAGTAAGCAGACCTTTTAATTCTGCTCATTGGACTTATTCAAAAGCATTTGTGTCTTGAATTCCTAGTAGCTAAGGTCCTAAATTTTGCTAGAGTTTATGTTGGAAAAATTCATAGGTATATAGAAAAAGGTCCGGGACCTAATATAAACGAGAATATTGTCTCAGGTTTTGCTTGCCAAATATTCATCGACGGATGGAAAAAATATAACTGGGTTATATTTAAGCAGGGTTGGAGGCCCTGGAGACTGGGGACCCCTAAATTCCACTCAAGGTCTGGGATCTGACAAAATTACATTTTCCTTAAAAGAGACGAGTATATGAGGAATATGATTTAGTTAAACACAATATAGATGAATGCTGAGCTTCAGTCAATTCTGTCGGTAAAACAGAGCTGACTGAATAAATTGGATTACACAATAAGGGGGCATAATAAACTCTGGGAGTAGTGTTTGCCTCTTTGAACTAGAAACAAAATTTTTGGGCCTTTAAAGGTACCAAGTAACTGATAAAAGTACAAAAGCACATAAATATATAAAATACACAAAGAACAGCAGAGTAGGAAATAGTTGCATTGAGCGGTACACAACTATAAGCCGCAGATAAGAGGGTAATGAATGAATGTGGAACTAACTTTATAAATAAAGTAGAGAATTAACCTTTGAAGTGAGAAAAATACAGCACACTCTTGTGGATGCACAGGTAAGAACTTCCCACCTGAAAAGGTAGAAGCGGAAGTTACCACGACAGTTTTTCAGTGCTGTCTCACTCAAACACCAGTGATTAGAGTTCCCTAGGAGCTGAGACCTCACTGGTCGAAATTGCCACCAAAAGGTCACAATATGGAGGGTGAATTCGACCAAGAGATAACCGATGATGGGTGGGGTCCTAACGAGGTTTTGAGTTCTCTGGGAGAACAGTTAGCCTGTGTAGAAACAGTACTTAATGCCACCAATGACCCAGCTACAGCGACAGAACAAAGAAAGTTGTTAAGAAAGACAGCGGAGAAGTTGTTAATGAACAAAGGCAAGGATATGAACAGTTCAGGGAACTGGGGAATGATTTGGAGGCACAAAGCAGAAGAGGCAAGAAAAAAGGAGGAGGAAGCGTGCGGATTATTAGCGATGGCAGGAGTATTAACGAGAAGAAAGCACAAGAATGAGATAGATAAACAAGCAAAGAAAAGGGGAAAATTCACACAGTGGGTCATGTTATGGAATACAGCCAGAACTAATATGACAAAACAGAAAAAGGTAACCAAATTAATGCCGCCACCCTACTCCCCGGTCCAGCCCGCTCCAACTGCCCCGGTGCCTGGCATCTCTCCAGTAATTAATATCACTGGGGGTGTAATGTATATAGAACAGGAAGAAGATTAAAAACAGGAAAACAAAACAGGCCGTGTGCACCAACCCGAGGGACCCAGTACCCCCATCTCTTCCCTATCCATGATAGGGGATGAGCCATCTGCATCAGACTCTGCCCAATTTCAACCTTTTTCACAAAGAGCAGCCCGGGAAGAACAAGCCCAGTTAATGTCCGAATTAAGCAGGATAATGCAGGCAGGTTCTACCCCTGGTCCTAATGTCACTCCCTGGATTATATCCAGTCCTCAGGTGACATCCACCCCTTGCTCACAGGCTCCCTCTGAGTCTCAAGGTGAGCCTAGGACTTCACCCAATACACAGACTCCTTCTGAGTTTCAAGGAGAGCCTAAAATTTCGCCCAATAATCCATTCATTAACGAATCCGGATCCGTAACTATAGTAACAGGAGTAAGGGGCAGTGTTAAGTCCGACACAGCCAAAAGTGACAGTGATGTTGTAACCATGTCTTTGACCGGTCAACCTAGACCAGACTCCCAACCAAGCCGTAATTCTGATCTGACCCAGACCCCGTCAAAAATAGAGCTTCTTGAGCAATCAGTTTATGAGCAATCAGAATAATCAGAAGACGAAGAGTTAATCCAGTTCTCTTCCCCTGCTCCCATCAGGCGATGCGGCCCAAAGACGCGTTCACAGGGGCCAGCGACCCCTCCCATCTCCCAATACCCGCTTATACAGGCTAAAGCCCACGGCCCAAGGGTGTACCAGCCCTATTCCTTTGGTGATATCCAAGCCTTAGTGGATAAACTTCCTGATATAAATGAGGGAGGGAATGCATGGCTAGCAGATCTAGACAGATATACTACATGTCAGGACCTTGCCTTGGGAGATTTCAGAGCAATCATCACCAGATGTACCTCAAAATCGCAGGCGGAAGATTTAGAACAAAATGCAGGCACCCAGCACCTCCAGAATTCGGTTCCACTGACAGCCTCCCTTAGAACGTTAGGCCCAGCGCTTAGAAAACAATTCCCGCCTAAAGATCAAGGAGGCATACAAAAATTTAAATGGGACGGGAAAATGAACCCCACCTCTTTCCTGAACAAAGCAGTAGATGATTGGGTTAATCACACAGGCCAACATCCAAGTAAAAAATCCACACATGGCATATGGTTTAAGAAAGCTGTCCTCCGAGGGGCTCCAGACTCTGTGGCTCAGAAAATGGATGACAACCCTGATTTGGCTGATTGTGACTTTAATAAATGGAAAAACCACTTAATATTCAACCTTACAAAGGTTCAAAAGGCGGAGGACAAGGAGTCTGATAACTTAGAGGACCTTCAGAAACAACTACTGAGGGTTCAATTACAGGCTGCGTAAAAGACAACTCTAATTTTAAATCATGGGAGAAAAGGGGGATAAGACTAGGAAGCACTCGCCACTACTGCCCCGCCTCCACCACCGCAGTTCAATCCAACACCTGATTCTTACCCAATGCCACCATGGC